TCTGAGGGACAGCAACCTGGCCCCTGGCTCAAAGAGGTTGCCTACCCTGCCTTATGGGTTTTAGCACCTAGCCTGATCGTCCTAAACTCTGCCTGAAAAAAGATGAAAGATTGGAGATTATTTGCCCATAGGGAAACATAGAGGAATATTTGCCTACAGGGAAACATTGGAGAATACTTGCCCATAGGGCAACCATACTTGCCCATAGGGAAATATTGGAGAATACTTGCTCATAGGGAAACATAGGGGAATATTTGCCTATGTTTCCCCTAGGGAAACCATACTTGCCCATAGGGAAACTTTGGAGAATACTTGCCCATAGGGCAACCATACTTGCCCATAGGGAAACATAGAGGAATATTTGCCTCTAGGGAAACATTGGAGAATACTTGCCCATAGGGCAACCATACTTGCCCATAGGGAAACATTGGGCAAGCAAGGTTTCTCTATGGCCAAGTAATTTCCCTATGGGGGGGGGGAGTATTCTCCAATGATTCTCTATGGGCAAGTACTGTCATTTGTTCTGCTACCTCCCTGCTTTGATGGTGAGTTCCTGCATGGCAGGGGCTGGGACTGGGTGGCTTTTGCAGAGAGGAGTGTGTGTGTGTGTGTGTGTGTTTCTCTTCCAACTCTATGGTTGCCTGCTTCTCTGCTTGCATCGGGCGCTGGCGCCGCCTGCTGGCCGAGGCTGGCATTTCAGGACCCTGGAGAGCGAGCCTCCTGTGCCTCCTCCGCAGCAGAGGAGCAAACGCTGGGGAGGGAAGAGGAGCCGAGGCCCAGCAGCAAGGGGAGCCTGGCCAGGTTGTTTCCAGGACTGCAAGCCCAAGAAGCGCAGGATTGCCTAGTGGTGAGTGCAAAACAATTGGGGAGGAAGGGGGACCCTTTTGCAAGGCATCCCTTTTTTTTTGCAATAGCCAGAGCCTTTGCAAACAGCTGGAGAGGCCCCAGAAGAACAGCTGGAGAGGCCTCTTCTGGCGTGTCCGGGATCGGAGGAGGACGAGGTAAGCTCAAAATGTAGGGCATGCCAGGAATAATAATAATAATAATTGGAGGGCATGGCTGCAGTGAAAAAGCTGCAAAGGCTCCTGGAAATAGAAATGCAGGCATCTGAGTCCAGAGCTCAAAATGGAGGAGGTTGGATGTTTTCATTTTCTGGGATCTCCTCTGGAGGGGAAGGTGAAATGGAGGACGTGTCCTGGGAAATGGAGGACATCCGGTCAGCCTGGATGGCGCAGCATCCCAGGCCTTGGGGCGGGTTCATCCTTGCCAGGGATCTCTCTTTGCAAGCATCCTTGCAAAAGCGATGGCTTTCTTGGAAAGGAGAGAGAAAAGGCCAAGAGGCATCTTTCTCTCCCCATCCCTAGTCTCTTTTCTGGCTACCTCCATCTTTGCAGAGAGAAAAAGATACTGTGCTAGGTGGGTTTGGGGATTGCATTTGCAGATCGGCTTCCCTTCCTCTGGGATTTTGGAAGCTGGAGGTCTTCTCTTCTTCGTCCCCATCTTTCCCTTGTGTATGTCTTTGTGGCCTGAAAAAATTAACATTTTAGCCTGGCTAGGATCTGAAAGAGGTCAAATGCATGGCTGCCTTTGGATCATAGAAACATAGGAGTTGGAAGAGACCACAAGGGCCATCCAGTCCAACCCCCTGCCATGCAGGAACTCCCAATCAAAGCATCCCCGAGGCCTTCTGGGGGTCAGCAACCTGCCAATGTGTTGGCTCTCTGTTGTTGTTGTT